GCAAGCTAAGAATGCTGAGCTACTAACCTTAAGGAGGCCTGAGCCTTGGCATCAGTCTGACGAGCTATAGCTGATGAGCTAGTAATTTCAAAGAGACCTGAGCCTGCAGTTATAGATCCTGCCTGGAGCAGTCCAACAGCTATAGATCCTGAGGTAGTGTCCTCAAAGAAGTTTATGCCTGGATATTAGTCCTGCTAGCTAATGGTGCTGAGTCAGGGATGTCACACAGGCTTACTTTTGACATGAGACTAGTAAGCTAGAGGTGCTGAGCCAGTGATCCTAAAAGAGTCCTGTATCTTGATACCAACCCAGTACCGTAGAGCTGCACAGCCAGTCAGCTCCCAGAGGCCTATGGTTTGTCATCACAATCCAGCAAGCTAGAGATGCTGAGCTAGTGAACCTAAAGAAGCCTAACTATTTACATCAGTCCAACAAGCTATAGCTGGTGAACTAGTGAAATCTCAGAAATTTGGCCCTTTACATATATCCAGCACACTACAGTTGCTGAGCAAATGACATAACTATGTCTTAAAATCTGTCCAGCAAGCTGAAGGAACTTTTCCCTTAGCTCAGCTAAAGGGGCTGAGGAACCAGTCTTTTATAGTCCTGGCCTTGACAGTAGCCAAAAAAGTCAGAGGTGCTGAGCCATGACCCTCACAGACTAACAGCCCAGTATGCTAATGCCGCTAAACCAGTCATCTCACATATGATTTTGGTTAGCTCAGGAGCTATCGCTGTTGAACTGATATAAAAGCTTGGGTTTCTTCCAGACTCAGCTTTTACAGCTTACTGGACTTGTATCAAGACACAGTCTTCTGTCTCCTCTTTCTGTTACTTATGTATTGGAAAGTTCTGTGAGCCACTTTAAGTAAAAAGTGCTATATAAATTTGATAGCCTTGTGCATGCATAAACAGCAGCAAGCTTGACTTGGTACCTATGGATATGGTCACATTTGCTATTTTGTACTGTTCTAAAGTGAATGAGGGGACAGCAAGCCAGGGGACAAAGGAGATACAGTGAGCAAGGGTGAGCAGGGAGCACACAGAAAAGGCAAGGTTTTTACATGTTCTCCATCATTAAAGAATCATAGAATCATAGAATATCAGGGTTGGAAAGGACCTCAGGAGGTCATCTAGTCCAACCCCCTGCTCAAAAGCAGGACCAATCCCCAATTAAATCATCCCAGCCAGGGCTTTGTCAAGCCTGACCTTAAAAACTTCTAAGGAAGGAGATTCCACCACCTCCCTAGTCAATGCATTCCAGTGTTTCACCACCCTCCTAGTGAAAAAGTTTTTCCTAATATTCAACCTAAACCTCCCCCACTGCAACTTGAGACCATTACTCCTTGTACTGTCCTCTTCCACCACTGAGAATAGTCTAGAACCATCCTCTCTGGAACCACCTCTCAGGTAGTTTAAAGCAGCTATCAAATCCCTCCCTCATTCTTCTCTTCTGCAGACTAAACAATCCCAGTTCCCTCAGCCTCTCCTCATAAGTCATGTGTTCCAGACTCCTAATCATTTTTGTTGCCCTTCGCTGGACTCTTTCCAATTTATCCACATCCTTCTTGTAGTGTGGGGCCCAAAACTGGACACAGTACTCCAGATGAGGCCTCATCAATGTCGAATAGAGGGGGACGATCACGTCCCTCGATCTGCTCGCTATGCCCCTACTTATACATCCCAAAATGCCATTGGCCTTCTTGGCAACAAGGGTACACTGCTGACTCATATCCAGCTTTTCGTCCACTGTCACCCCTAGGTCCTTTTCCGCAGAACTGCTGCCTAGCCATTCAGTCCCTAGTCTGTAGCTGTGCATTGGGTTCTTCCGTCCTAAGTGCAGGACCCTGCACTTATCCTTATTGAACCTCATCAGATTTGTTTTGGCCCAATCCTCCAATTTGTCTAGGTCCCTCTGTATCCTATCCCTGCCCTCCAGCGTATCTACCACTCCTCCCAGTTTAGTATCATCCGCAAATTTGCTGAGAGTGCAAGCCACACCATCCTCCAGATCATTTATGAAGATATTGAACAAAACCGGCCCCAGGACCGACCCCTGGGGCACTCCACTTGACACCGGCTGCCAGCTAGACATGGAGCCATTGATCACTACCCGTTGAGCCCGACAGTCTAGCCAACTTTCTACCCACCTTATAGTGCATTCATCCAGCCCATACTTCTTTAACTTGCTGACAAGAATACTGTGGGAGACCGTGTCAAAAGTTTTGCTAAAGTCAAGATACAATACATCCACTGCTTTCCCTTCATCCACAGAACCAGTAATCTCATCATAGAAGGCGATTAGATTAGTCAGGCATGACCTTCCCTTGGTGAATCCATGCTGACTGTTCCTGATCACTTTCCTCTCATGTAAGTGCTTCAGGATTGATTCTTTGAGGACCTGCTCCATGATTTTTCCAGGGACTGAAGTGAGGCTGACTGGCCTGTAGTTCCCAGGATCCTCCTTCTAAGGATCTAAGAAAAGCCAAAACTGATGGTCTAATGCTGCAACCACTTGCCATCAAACACTGTGCTTACCATCTGAGTAACCCTACTGAGGATGTAAGACCAGGAAAATGGAAATGCACTGTTATTTGTAAAATCCTGCAAAAACTGGATGCATGTTAATACTCACAGAGTCCTGATAAGTCTCCACAGGATTCTGACACACCTGAACAGAGTCCCAATGCATATTGGCCTGTCTCATGCAGTTCCAATACACTCGACAGCCTCGGGAGCCAGATACTTCCTATGCGGGGTTGTGAGGTGTCTGCCACAGTGACAAGCTGCTTGACACATCTCATGAGGTGCCCAGCGCATCCAGCAGGACCCTGAAACATCCCTGTTTGCTTGACATATCCCTCTAGGTGTCCATAATCCCCAAAACTTTCCACATGGTGCCAACACGTGCTGCGAGTGCCTCACATGCCCACTGTTTGCTCAGCACTTCAGTGGAGTCCTGTCACATCCCTCAGGAGGCTGACTCTTCCCTGCAGAGCGCCTGACAAGTGTCACATAAAATAAAAATACTTTTTAAATTATCCAGCCATTTTTACTGGCACATGGTGGGAATCCTGGGGGGAAGAGGGGAGAGGACAAAGCTGATAGAAGGCACCTGCCCAGATTAAGCATTCTACAGCCAATTGCCTCTCCCCCATTTGCTCTTTAAAACATACTGCTACTGAGGGAGTTGTGCTGCAGGCTTCACCACTGTCAGTGTGTGTTTGGTAGCACTACCACGGTGCTTACTGCAGAGAAGTCTTTGAATCATGATTTGAAGACGTCAGTAATTCAGCCAGAGGTTATGGGTCTATTACAGGAGTGGGTGGGCAGCAGGTCAGATTGATCCTGATGGTCCCGTCTGACCTTAAAGTCTATGAGCATGAGAAGGTGGGTGAACAGACTACCACTAGCAGTGTAGAGAGAGAGGTTTCTGTGTTTCTGTGTCTGTGGGTTTGAGGGACTGGGGAATCTTATAGGACAGCACTTCTCAAACTTTAACAACCCGAGGACCCCCATTTTTATTTAAATTTTTTTATGGACTTCCAAGCCCCCTGCTCAGCCCCTGGCGCCACCCCCCCTCTACCCCTTCCCCCAAGACCCCACCCCTGCCCCACCTCTTCCCATCCCTGCCCTCCTCTTTCCTCCCTGAGCATGCCCTGAACCCACTCCTTCCCCTCCCTCCTGCATGCGTCTGAACAGCTGTTCCGAGGCTTGTAGGAGGCACTGGGAGGGAGGGGGAAGAGTTGATCATTGGGGCCGGTGGCCCTGGACATGTCTTGTGGACCCCCTGAAGTACCCTCAGGGACCCCTGTCTGAGAAACTCTGCTATAGGATGTATTTAGTACCAGTGTGGCTTCCTGTGGATTGTTCCATTATCAGTGTGTCTGGGGGTTTCCTAAATGCTATCGTTGTGGGGGGAGGGTTCCTATGGATTGTACCATTATCAATGCACGGGTCTGTATGAGGGCAATGTCCTATGCAATGTACTGTTGTCAACAAAGGGGACTTATATGTGTGTGAAGGGGGGGTATATGACATGTACCACTATTAATAATGTCCAGGGGGTGGGGTTCCACGATGATGCTCCTCTATTATTTCCCACATATCCAATATGTCATCAAGGGTCTGATCCATAGTCCTGGTGCTCTGTCTTCCTCTTTACACTTAACACTCCTTTGTCTGCAGGTTGGCCATCTCTCATAGCAGTATATGCTCCTTTGTTTCTCCCCTCTTGCTGCTCCACTCTAGCCAGAATGCCACTTAATGTGTCATCGTTCTCACCTCACTGTGTATCATTTCGGAGCTGTAACCATACAATTTTATGTCTGTGTGGCACAAAATAGGCACATTAGCTGTTTGCTACACATTTTGGAGGCTTCAACTATATACCCAATGTTTAAGAGGCTGTAAATTGGATGTGGTAGTGACATGGCCTAAGTTGTCAGTGTAGCAGTCACTCATGCAGAGGACCTGATTTTTCCTTTACCCCGTACCATATGTAGTGATTTACCCCACTGTGACATGAATGCAAAATTAATTATGGAACAGCATAATACATCCGCTTTGAATTCACATTACACTGATATAAATAACTACAGAAGATGCAACAGCCTAAAAACACAAATGATATATTGATCATGGATGGATTGATGCATTGTGCCAGCAGCACCCCAACCCCTTTCACTTCTCTGTTTTGCATTTGGTGAGACAATTAGCTTTTTTGTCCCCTTTAAAACTGATGACACAGTTCTTTTAAACATCAAAACTACAGGTGAAAATGTTTAACTCTTTACGGAATCAACTCTTTAGCAGGTTGCTACAGCAGGGTTACCTCCTGTAAGAATTTTATTGTGAGTCTTAAGATAATTTGTGTTTTTCTTAAAGCTTCAACTCCTGCAGTCAGTTATTAAATAGAAATATTAACTCACTGTTACCAATGCTTGCAATTTTTATCACAACTTTTGCAATATTTTGTATTTTTCTTCTTAAACCTCCAGATGCTGGAGTCAAGTCATTCTGTGAACATCTCAACTTTCATCTTGAAAAAAGGAAGTTTCTAAGGCTGATAGTTGCAAAGAAATCCTTGAAAACATGACCCAAGTGTGCTTTAAAAAGCTCACAAACCAGATAATTTTAAAAAATGGTGTTCTTTTTATTAACGATCTCATGATTGTAAAGCAAATCTCATGATTCTTTCAGCCTGTTGTGATTCTTAAATGCTAGTGGCTGGCAAGGCTGCCAACACCAAAACCAGATCCAAAAACGTTTAACCCTTGGTGGAGCAGGTAGGACAGGCCCTGGATGGGCTCTTCAGAAAGCAGCTTCTGACACAGATTATGAGGGTGCTGGGTTACATTGTGCCTTAAATGCCCAGCCCTGTGTGGGTGACTGCACCCTGCCACGGCATCCAAGCACCCCCAACCTTGCTCCCCCTGTTCTGTCCCTTTTTTATCCCGTTTTGCACAGGGGGAGGGCTGTCGCAACTTCGCCAGCTGTTACTGCGCATGCTCACCCCCTCTCTCAGTAATTACACGGGTAGCCAGAGCCGAGGCTACACCGGAAACAGCTGTTCTGAGTTTGGAAGGGCGCCGGAAGTAACCGCACTGCCCCGCCCCCCCTTCCTCCGCCTGCCTCCCTCCCTCCTTCCGCCGCGGACGTGGGGCGGGGCGAGGGGGAGCCCCCGCTGCTTCCTTGTTGGCGGCTGCTGCGCGGCGCGCGGACTCAGGATGTCGGTTGCGCTCCGGCGGCTCCGCGAGACGCCGCGGCACCTGCTGGTGTGCGAGAAAAGCCACGTGCGGCATGAGCGCTCCCGGCACGCGGCGCACGTGCGGAGCCACGCCTACAACTGCCGCGTGAGTGCGGGGCGGCGGGTGGCTGGGGGAGCTCTGCCCGCGAGCGAGCGGTTGGGGAGCGCGAAGGGCCCCCTCCCCCTGGCTGGGCTCCTCCGGCTCGGGGGCGGCTGGCTGGCTGGTGAAGGCGCTCGGTGTCTCCCTCCCAGCCCCGCTTCTAGGTGCCTGTCAGGGGCCGGCTTCCTAGCCGCCCTCTGCTGGGGCAAGCCCCAGGTGTAGACGCGGCTCTGCTGCCCCCTCTGCGCTGCCGGGACTGTAGATCTGGGCCGCTGAATTATAAGTGGAGGCCAGCATGAAGGGTCTCCCCCCGTTTAACCTGCTCCGTTTTCAAGGCTGGTTATGCCGGCCTAGTTACAGGGGTAATTGTGCTGCTATAGTCTCTGTAATGTAGACCTGGCATTAAAGTGACATACTAACGACCCGAAATCTACCAGTGGTGTAGACGCTGATCTCTCTTTCCCTTCTTTTTCCAAAAATAAAAAAAAAAAACCCTAAAATTAAAATAGCTGAGCCAACAGCCTCCTTTTTGTGTAAAGGTTTGTATTGCCAATTTTTCCATGAACATCCGCTCTATTGATTATTCCAGCTCCGCTCTTGGGGCAGTTCTTCATGGATGGATGAATAAAGTTGTGTGTGACCATTCCCCCCCCCTTTTTTTTTCTTTGCAGAGTGATAGATTTTTAAAACAAAGAGGGAAAGCCCCCAAAACTTGATATGGTATTTTCAACAAAACACACTTTCTCCCATCCAGTGTATAATTTGTCAGTGGGATTGTAGTTCATATTTTTAATCTAATCATGTAATTTTAGAGTATCATTTGGATGAAATGATGATATATCAAGCTGGTAAAAACAAAAAAAAAATTCTGATCACTTCTCTACTGGCACCTAAGGCTTTGAAATTGGTTATCCAACAAGATAATGTTGATGGGGGAAGGAAAAGATCAGTGTTTACCAACTGGTAGATTTGGTATTTTAGTCTAAGGCCAGGTGAAAGCTCAGAAATTTGTTTCTGTCACTAACAGAAGTTGGTGCTATAAAAGATATTACCTCACCCACCTTTTCTCTATAATTCTATGTATGCATTTCTGAGATGCTTCTTTAAAAGGACATGCAGTTGCTTCTAGAATGTCTCTTATGCTGGGACTTAATTTAACCAAGCTGGATCCATTAATGGTTTGCAAGTTGCTGAGTTTCAAAAACTTCAAAACTTAAATCACATTTAACAGCTATATATAATGTATTGAACAAGGTGTCAAAAACAGATAAACAAGCCAACAGCAGATAGGTATTATGGTGCTTTCTTGAGGCAGTCCAGAACTGTAAGTCACCCTGTTATCCTTTCTGCCTTAGCAAAAGGAGGTTTGGTCGGTGGTGTTGTGTGTGACGGCTCCCTGCCACCACAGTCTCCTGTTAGCTAGCCAAAAAAACTCCTTAGGATGCTGCCACCCCAAACTGGGCCTTGCAGATTAATCCTTGGTGCACTACAATATTGAACTTTCCAGAAGCATCTCTCTGCAGCATCTAGCCCCCGTCACTGGATGCTGACAGAACTACCAACTCTGCTGCCGCCGACGAGACAGACTACATACCAGCCTGCTGGTTCGGCTGAGGATGCACACCTCTTTATTATAACAGTACTGAGATTAATTTATAATAAAGCAAAAGTAAGTTTATTAATAAAGAACAGAGATTTAAGTGAAATTAAGCAGAGATAATAGAAACCGAAAATGGTTACAAATGAAACAAAAGTATAAAGTGTTTCAGACTCTGTGTAACCCTTAGCAGGCTCCATGCTTTGTCTAAAGCAGTTTTCTCACCTACAGCTACTTCTCAGCATCATCAACCCATCTGGTTGGAGATCCACTGTTCATAGATGCAAAGAGACTGACCTCTTCGTTCCCTCAGTTATGAGTAGCAAAATGTCCTTTTGCGGCTTATGTTCCCCAAAGTTCATAGTCTTTGTCCCAAGAGTCAGGCTGACTCCCTGAGGTCCAGATTATGAGGTGTCCTCTGGTGTGCTGATGCCATGCTATTGCCTCATCCTCTTGATAACTGGTGTTTACCTCAGATGCAAATGAAAGGTCCATTGTCTCTGGCATCCCTGTGCTCAGTTTACATTACCACATTCACCCTGACTAAATTGGCCTTCAACATTGGTTCTCCACTCCTAAGGTAACTCCCTTCTCTTCATGTGCCAGTATATATTTATACCTGTATCTGTAATTTTCAGTCCACACATCTGCAGAAGTGGGTTTTTTACCCATGAAAGCTTATGCCCAAATAAATCTGTTAGTCTTTAAGGTGCCACCAGACTCCTCGTTGTTTTTGTGGATACAGACTAACACGGCTACCCCTCTGATTATAGACACAGGCAAATCAACGTTCCCTTTGTCTAGGACAAACTTGATCACATCTGCTCCCAGAACTTATTGTAGAAACATATTTCTAGCACACATACATAACTCTTTATAGTGCATGCATGAATCATCATGCAATGATATTAATGACTACTATGTCACCAGCTTTCACTTGATACTTCACACAACACTCTTTACAGAAAATACCATGACAGCAATGTGGTAGATGTAATGAGTGTGTCATTGGAATTGAAATAGGTACAGAAAAGGGCAACAAAAATTATTAGGCGTATGTAACAGCTTCCATAGGAGGAGAGATTAAAAAGACTGGGACTTTTCAGCTTGAAAAAGAGATAACTAAGGGGGATATGACAGATGTCTATAAAATCATGATTGGTGTGGAGAAAGTAAATAAGGAAGTGTTATTTACTCCTCATAACACTAGAACTAGGGGTCACCAAATGAAATTAATAGGCAGCAGTTTAAAACAAACAAAAGGAAGTATTTCTTCACACAATGCACAGTAAAACAATGGAACTCCTTGCCAGAGGATGTTGTGAAGGCCGAGACTATAACAGGGTTCAAAAAGGAACTAGATAAGTTAATGGAAGATAGGTCCCTCAATGGCTATTAGCCAGGATGGACAGGGATGGTGTCCCTAGCCTCTGTTTGCCAAAAGCTGGGAATGGGCTACAGGGGATGGATCACTTGATGATTACCTGATAATTCCCTCTGAAGCACCTGGCATTGGCCACTGTCGGAAGACAGGATACTAGGCTAGATGTACCTTTGGTCTGACCCAGTATGGCTGTTCTTTATGTCAGGCCTGATAGGATTTACAGAACAGTGGGCCATCTGCCATTGGCACTGAGGGCCTGTTAGGGTCACAGTATAGTTTTTAGACTCATGTGTAAGTTATTTGTAAATTTATCTTCCTGGCTCCAGCAGTACCTAAAGCCTGGATCCTGCAAACTACTGCACACAGCCAGAACCCCATTGAAATCAGTGGAGTTCCATGTGGGTGTAAGGGTGCAAAATTGTGTCTGAAGATTAAAGGTACCAGTCCTACAAGTGACTCCTTGTGGGTGGACCCCGTTGGTCACACAGAGCATTATCTGGAATGGGGCCTAAGATTTCATGCAAACATCTGTAACAAAAGATTTGAAGGAGATAGCTTCTCTCTTAGACTCAAATTGATTTGCATATTGCAGCAGCAAGTAAGCAAGTTGTAGCTGTGTTTACTAAACCTCCTCTGGCTTGGCTGTGAAATTAAATGATCACTTCCTTTTCTGGCAAAGTTAAGTAACTGCAGTTAAACCATCTGAATGTTGTTGAAAAACCCAAATCCACTCTGTCCGCTCCCTTGTCACCACAGATCACTGTGTGACCCTGGAGGCCCCTCAGTGCCAACTAGCAGAGAGCACAACATACCATAACTCACATCAGGCCTGGCACTCTCATTGCCCCAACATACTGTGGTCATAATCTGTATCTAAATGGTGTTGTGTAAAGTGCCATATGCAAACTGTTAACATGCTGGTCCTGAAAATCGTTGCATGATATATGTATGGCGTGTGTACAAAGAGTTAGAAATGCGTGCTGAAAATATGTTCTTAAAACGTATTTGGAAGGCAGCACATAAAGCCCAGCCTTACCTAGGTAAAGCAATGTGTTTTTACTTGTCTGGCCAGCTTGCTCACAGAGAACACTGAAAAGTATATTTACATATAAGATAAACAAAGCCATCAAACTAGCAATTGGGGAGATGATCGCTTAATGATCACAATGGGGGATGGAGTTTGTACCTTCGTGGCTCTTGAAACAGAGACAATGAACTTTGGGGTAATATAAGGGGAACAAAGAGAGATTTGAGTCTTCTGTCACTGAGGAACTTAGGGGTCAGTGTCCTCTGAGCCTATGAAAACTCTCTTGGCCTAGAAGGCAAGCATAGCTGGAAACTGACTATAGATGAGAAACCTGCTTAGAAAAGGGAACTTGCTGAAATTAAGTTTGCCACAAGAATGCATATTTTGTTTTGTTCTGTTTCACTTGTAACCATACCTGTTTTTTTATTCTTATTTATTATCACTTAAATTTGTTCTTTGTTAACAAACTTATTGTTGTTTTATTACAAAACCATCTCAGTGCTGTGTATTAAATTGGAGAGTGAATCCTCAGCTAACCTAACAGGCTGATGTGCATGCGATCTTTTTTGGAGGCAGCAAACCTAATAATTTCTGGGAGTGTCCAGTGAGAGGGACTGGATACGGCAAAGAGATGTCTCTGTGGAACTTGGGAACTGGGGTCCACTGGTTGTTGGATGCAAAGCAAGTTTTGGACTGGCAGAGTCCTGTAGAGTTTACTGGTGAAGAAGAAAAGCTGGTGTGTCAGGTCTCTGACACATTACTTGGCAGCAGCAAAGCTCTCGCTTGCTGGGTCTGAGAGGGGGTGACACAGTGGCTTACAGTTCTGGGTACCCAAACAGAAGCATCACACCCTGATTAGAAAATTAATGGATAAAACATTTTAACTAAGGTTCCTATTCAGCTTCAGGCATTCTCAGCAGTACACTTCTCCCAAGTCTTACCCCTCCTTTCTTCCAAAGCACTACTTTTGTGTTGTCAACAAGGTCTATCACTCTCTTCTGAAGGGCAGCTCAGTGCTGCCATGTCAGACTCAGCCTATTCCCAGCTCCCCCGTATTCCATTCTGTATGGGTTCTTATACTATGCTCATCACCTTAGTAGCTAAGGACTAGATGCACAAAGGTACGTAGACACCTAAACATCAGACTTTGGCACCTAAGTCCCAGTTTTAGGCTCTAATGCAATTCACAAAACTCCAGCCAAACCCTGTAAGTGCCTAAACTCACTCAGCACCTAAATTTTCAGGGTAAAAATTCCATAGCTACTTAGTTTCTGCTTCTGGGCCTGCACACTGCTGCCTTGCTCTATCTGGAATCCTGTCTCCTGCCAGAGCAACCTGTGAACTGGGGAAGATAGATGTTCACTTGCCTAACTTGCTGGTGGAGCTTGATCCAGTAGGTGTGCTCAGAGGCTGCTTACCAGATTGGATCCCATTTAAAATCTAGTGTTTGGTTATAACTTTTAGCCCAGTGGTTAGAGCACTCACCCAGGAGGTGGAAGACCCAGGGTCCAGTCCCCCTGCTCCATTGACTTTAATTATTAAGCTGCAGTGAAACAGCTTCAGCATGAGAGATTGGGGGAGCTCTGTATCAGGATATCCCATAGCTCAGTGGTTAGAGCACTTGACTGAGAAGTGGGAGACCCCTCTTTAAATCCTGGTAGAGGGGGGAATTTTGAACCTGCGTCTTCCTCATCCTGGGTGAGTGCTCTAACCACTGGTCATAATGTAGCCAGCAGCAGTACCTCCTACTTTGATTGTCTTGTGTAGCATTGCATGCCGACCTCTTTCTTTCTCATAAGAAACACAGTAGGACCTAATCTGCTTGAATTTGGGAGAACAGCCATGCTACACTGAATGCACCTGATCTCATCTGAGTTTTTATGGATCAAGGAGGCTTTTGGGGGGGTGTTAAATCTGTGTCTTGCACTATGGAATGTATTTGTTTTAAAAATGGACCAAATCCTACCCTGATTTCCATTCATGCATGGGCATAACTAAGGACAGATTTAACCCATTATGTGGTAAATGCCCCAAATAGCAAAGGTAAAAAAGCATTCAAAACAGATTTTAAACTAACCTTTATTTTGTCTTAAAACCATACCCTTTGCAAAACCATGCTGTGCAATAATATCCCTTTCTGTAGTGCTTTAAATGGCACTGTACTGTGTATGAACTATGCAAAATAGAGAACCGAGTCCTACACAATAAGGTTTGGTAACTGAAACTCTAGGCCATCTGGGGTGGGGCTAGCTTAAAATTAGTAATGTGCTGAATTCGTCTCTTGCTATTTGGGGCATTCACCCATCTACAGATACCTTTTACTCTTTTATTTTATGTGCTGATCTCTTTGAGGAGCTGAATTTTTGTTTGCTTATTTCTTTTCTTCAGCCCTGTTTTGTAATTTTGATTATCTATGTTTATATTGTAAGATCTAATCTGCATTACAAATATGGTCTGAATAGGTGTCATTTTTGATCCCTGAATGTGGAATTCTTCCAGAAGCACTGAAAAGAGTTATCACAGACTTTGGAGAGTATTACTTGGTGAAGAATTTATCCCTTCATGAATTGGTTACACATGAATTTATCAATACATTTGTGAAGAAAGGTAAGGGGGAGCTAAAAATACATACAGTGAATATGAATGAAACCAAATGTCTTGGCAGTGCTTTCTGGAATACTAAAAAGTGCTTGTGATAACATCAGGGGTTTTTTTCTATGAGTTGTTTGGACTGTGACATTCTTCGCATTTGGAAGAGAAGAACAAATACAGAAGTCTGCATCACTCTCCTCTTCTCTCTGCTCCCTGGCAGATAGGCTGTTATACCTGTTATAGTGCAGAGGAGAAAGGTTAGTGATAGAAGAAATGGTGGAGGATGGACAGAAAACGGGGCAAGAGAGCAAGGTCACTGTGGTTCTTATAAAAATCGAATTTCCTTAATTTTTTAAGGATGGGAGAACTAAACAAAGAGAATCCTGTAGTACACTCAGATCAGTTTATTTTGTTCCACCTTAGAGTTCTTGGACAATGTACACTGCTCCTGACAGCATTTACCTTTACAACAGCTTTCCCCACATAATTCTTAACAGGAATGATTTCATAAACACTAGCTAGAGAGTAAAGCATTAAACATTTTAAAGCAATAATTCCAAGATTTCAGAATGATATTCTTTGGATTCTAGCTCTAGAGGGCTTGAGGTAACAGTTATTTAGGGTGTGTACGGTGCAAAAAAAAAGTGTTCTTAACTTGGATTAGCTAACTGCGATAGCTAATTTGTGTGAAGACAGTGTAGCTTGGCTTTTACTCAGGTTAGCAGCTCAAATTAAAATCTGTAGGAAGAGGAGCCTAACTGCTAACTCAAGTTAAAAACCAAGTTGCTGTATCTTCACTGATATTTTAATACAAGTTAGCTACCACAGGGTAACTAATCCAAGTTAAGAACACACCTGTTTTTTGTAGCGTAAACATATACTAAGGCAGTACTGGGTCGCAACCCAGTACTGGGTCACAGCATGTAAGGCACTGTATTGCCTTGCTCTGGTCTGCACTGCCAACCGAGACATCCCGTCGGCAGTGCTGCCCAGCTAAGGCAGGCTAGTGCCTACCTTTTCCGACACCACGCTGTGCCCCAGAAGCGGCCAACAGCATGTCCATCTTCTGGGTGGGGGGCATGGGGCTCCATGCGCTGCCCCCGCCCTGAGCACCGGCTCCATACTCCCACTTGTCAGAAACCAGCCAATGGTAGCTGGGGGGGGCGGAGGAGGGGTACGGGCTCAGTGCTTGCAGGCGAGAATCATGTGAAGCCGTTTGCACACCTCCGCGTAAGAGCCAGACCTTTTGCTGGCTGCTTCCAGGGCACAGCGCAGTCCACAGTGCCAGGACAGGTGGGAAGCCTGCCTCTGCAGCCCAGCTGTGCAGCTGACTGGGAGCCGCTGGAGGTAAGCCCGCACCCCAACTCCTGCCCCAGCCCTGAGGCCCCCCCAAACCCAGAACCCCTTCCTGCACCCCAAACCTCTCATTCCCAGCCCTACCACAGAGCCTGCACCCCCAGCCCAGAGCCCTGGCCCCTTCCTGCACCCCAACCCCCTGCCCTGGGTCGCGGGCATCAACAATTTTCTTCAACTGGGTCCCCAGAAAAAAGTTTGAAAAACCTTGTACTAAGGTACAGCAAGCATTGACTTGTGTTTGTACATGGGTGAAAGGGAGAAGCAAGATGTAAAATCAAAAGTCTTATTAAGGTTTGAGATCTCCTGACCTATCAGGAATAAGAATAGATGAACATGTGTAAGGCCTGTGGCATTCTTTACAGGAATGGAATGAAGGAAGGTTTAGCCCTGGTGCTCTAGCTCAGTTCCATTTGAGTAATTACAGTCTGCCTACCTGAATTCTCCTTGCACTTTCAATTGGGTATGATTTATGGTTTGCTTTATGTCCTGAACTGTAGTGATGTATAGCTGTTATTGTTTAATCGCAGCTGTCTTCCAGCCTAGAGGTGACTGCATTTCAGATATTAGTGAAGTGTTTCTTCTCCATATAGTTTCTAATAATCTTGTGAAGTTCTGGGTCTTCTGTTAAATGTCATTATAGAGATATTAATTATGAATAAAATCTGCAAGTTCCAAAGAAGGCATGTAAATCTGCACATAGAAATGGTTTCTCCCTCTGGTCCTTCTTCCATCTTGAACTTCAAAGATGGAACAACATGTCTCCTGCCTTTGATATTTAACACTCTGAGGAAAAGGCATGTTGATAGCAGACATCCAGGGACATCCACCACTTTGCTGATGCCAGAAAGTTCCCTATTACTTAGGACTCAATCGTGGAGCAAAGCATTTTTTCAAATAAGCTGATTTTAAAGGAAAGTAGTTGTCCCTCCATTAAGGATTAATTACTTGCTAAATTTAGGACCCTCTTTCTTGCTGCTCTTATTCTCTTGAATAGTACTTGTGCCAGCAGTTCCTATTCGAGCAATGGGACCACTCATGTGCCAAGATTACAGGACTGGGCTCTTGATTTTAGAAGATGAAGGTGGTTGTGGTACATGACTGGAAAAAAAAAATGTCCATGATAACAACATTGTCCCCTTTATTTTTCAATGTGACCCAATATCTGAAAAATGGTTGGACCAAATTTTTTTCTAATTTGGTGAAAAGAATCACTTCCAGGTTGAAATAAAGTGTTCTAAGTTTGGGCTGGAATGGATTTCATCTGGGTTATAAAACCCTGAAAATGTCACTGTCACATTTGTAGAGGCATCACGAAAGTACCATAGTGGGAGAAGGCTAGTTACTTTCAGTGCAGAAATCAAGCAGGATCTAAACAGCAACTGACTGGTTTATTTATCTTGAGATGAGTCTAACTTAAATATTTCCAGTATATATTTTGAGAACTGTATAACCTTGTGTTTTACTGTTCCTTTGTGTTAAAGGTTCATGCTATGCTCTTACGTACAACACAAAAATTGATCAAGATAATGCTGCTGCTCTACTACCAACTGGTATGAATTCATACTATTCATTATACATAGACATTGACTAATGCCTTTGATTTGTTTTGTTTTTACTTGGGTTTTTGAAAGCGGTACTGTCAACTGGAAAAATCATGAGTACATTTCTTTACCTATGTTTACTAGTAATTATTAAAATGAAATATTAAAAAAATTAAAGTTACTCTTTGTTATTCATGCTCTTGATTTATTTAATTTCTTACATCATGGACAGTAAACTCAATTAAGTCAATTTCACTTTTACTCATCATTTCAAATGGTCAGTGCTGCAAACCTTGCGTTGCTAATGCTGTAGAGGAATATTTGTGTGAAAACTCTTTTCACTGGAATTAAAAAAACAGCATTTCTGTTCGTCTGAAACTTTATTAAAGGCTGCTTTTTACACACTCCAAAATCTAAACCATTTTAAGTTGATGCTGTCCCCTTAAAAAATATAGGTCAGGTGATTTTGGTATATTTCTCAAAATACTATGATGAAGTATTTAGTACTTAAAAGTACTGAGTAATACTTTTCTCAGAGTATAATTAAGCATTTTATGTGTGAGAGTAATGGAGAGCTTTGTTTCGTTTCACTGTTTTCCAAACGTCTTGAGATTTCAACATATTATACAATACATATTACATCAATTACAGTAAAAATGTAAATCTTTTCATATCCTTTTATTTTTAGTCTCATTTGCTAATTGTCATAACCCAGTTGCCAAAAAAAAGCAAGTGTTTGGCAGAGCACAAGTAAACTGAAATTCTTCATGTAAGCTCTTTGCAGTAGGGATATCATCTTTTGTAAATATATATAGCCACTAACCCAATGGAAATCTGATCCTGATTGTGGTCTCTGGGTGCTAGCAACAGGTAAATGTTTCAAAATAATATTCACAGCCATTCTGGAGTCCATGATTTAGACATGTGTGATATCACAGTTCAGTCCTTTTTGACACTCAATATTATTATTTTGTGGTAGTGTCCAAAGACCCCAGCCAGGATCAAGGGCTCCATTGTGCTAAATGCTGTACAGCGGCAAAGGATGGCGCCGTCAATGCACCAAAGTGTTTTCAGTCTAAGCCACAAACCTTCAGACACTTATGTGCCTAACTTTACTCACCTGGGTAGGCCCATTGAAGTCAAAAAGTTTAAAGCACAGCAGTCGCTTCAAGCATGTGAGTGTTTGCAGAATCAGGGCCTAACTGAACACAAGATTCAATAAATGAATATAACAAACTAGGAAATAGCTGGGAGGAGGGAAGATACAGGTGACAGTAGTAACATGGCAAAATTACATAGGGTAATTGCACCACTCAGGAATTATGTTATTTAGGGTTCACTCATGCTAATTCATAAGACATTTTTGACAACCAACAATAATCTTTTTTAAGGGTTACTCTTTGTGATCCATTTAACTGGAACTGAAGGCGCCTGGATTACATTACTAACACCTAGTGATCCAGGTTTAACTTTATACAGCATGAGACTCTCAAAGACTTAAAAGGGAGCTATGGAAGCGATAACTGGTACTAACAAAAATCCTTGTTGTTCATAGGAAAGCTAATTATATCAGTAGACAAGGATACATATGAGGAACTTGGACTACAAGGTCGTCCATCTCAGTATTCTGGTAGAAAAGTCATGAGATATAGTAAGTATTGTTTACACTAACAGCACCTATTCTAATATTAATATCCATTTATAAAGTGTCTTAATAGGACACCAAACTATCTGAGTTTAAGCTTTGATTCCTCTAAATTTGGTTAATCTCTGGGATGTTTTCTCCCTGTGTACACACACCATACACATATTGAGAGAAATATGTAAACTACACAAGTAACAAGAAAAGCACAAATAGAACATATATATTTAATATCTCATTGATATTGTAAGAACTTAATTTCTGCATTTCTTTATTTATTTTTAATTATATATCCCTTGTATTGCAATAATGTAGGATGTGAGCATTTTTGCATTTTGTATACTGTATGCAATCTCTGTATCTTTGTCACAAAATAATGTGCCCCTCCCCAGAAACATAAATCTGTCACATCTTCACAGCAGAAAAACAAAAAAACTTAATGAAAGCTTGCACCTAGCAGAATGCTGCAGAAACTGCAAAGAAAAAACCTAAACTTAAGAGACCCCTTTTGTTGAGAGAGAGAGAGGATTTTGTTTTGTGTGTTTGTGACACTTAAAATCTTTCTCAGGCAAATTATCCTTTAAATAGCCTCAATGCCTTGCACACGGTAAAGAAAATTTGCAGTTCTTAGCAGATATCCTGTGGACATGCTTAGTGATTTCTAAAAAATCAGTCATAACTCTTTTAGTTCATATTCTCCCCCGCAAACCTAGAAGGGCCGTACATATTGAAAGTTAATTACAAGCAAAGATTAACTTTCAGAGTGCTGTTGGCTTTAAGTTATCTGCATAAAAACAACTAGTAGCAAAATAGGAAATAATGCTAATTCATTGAACTTAAAAATTTGTTCAGTTTTTTTTTTTTAAATTCATCTTTGGATTGGGACCAATGGGTGTGGGAAAACAGGCTCATAATGGAAACAGTGCTGAAGCTGTAAGTATGGCTTTTGCTGGTACTGTAAGCTATAGCTTTTTCCTTAAATGCCAATGGTCTGGTGCCAGTATTTTTTTAAAGCCACTATTTTGGCATGACAGCTCCCCTTTTCTCATTTCCCTCACAAAAGTGAGCTGCTCATTGCTGGTTTTAGAAAGCAGATAACTTCAAAAAAAAACCCACCAGACAAACAAAACCCCACAACTTTCCCTTGATTTCTGCACAGTGAAGCTGAGACACAAGCAGAAAAGTTAACAAAAGGCAGCAGTGTAATGTCTTCTCCATCAGCATAAAGAGAGAAAAATCTTCATTTGCAAAATGGAGAGCAACAGCTGTATGACTAAGATTTTGAGAGAATGCTACAAGGCATGGAGGGTTACCTTAAAAGGAAAAACAAAGTGTATCCATAAAAAGTAGTTGACAACATATTCTAGTACTCTGATAATTTTCATAGAATCTGAATATTAAAGCTGAGCTCTGTTGAGTAAAATTTGCCCATTCATCTTTTACAGTTGTTACCATTGACTTGACTGACTCGGCCTTTGATCCTGATAGTAAGAAACATAAAAGAGTGCTTTGGGCCTTGAAAGAGAAGAAACCTTTAGAATTTGATTTCCTGCTGTCCTGGCATAACACAGGTAATGAGAATGAACTGTAATATTAGAAGAATATTAGAATATTAACTATGGATGACATAAAATTAGATGGGTGAGGTAATATCTTTTATTGGACCAACTTCTGCTGGTGAGAGAGACAAGCTTTCTAGCTTACAAAGAGCTCTTCGTCAGGTCTGGGCTGTGTGAAGAGCTCTGTGTAAGCTACAAAGCTTGTCTCTCTCACCAACAGAAGTTGGTCCGATAAAAGATATTACCTCACCCATCTTGTCTCTGTAATATCCTGGGACCAACACATCTACAACAACACTGCATACACCAATAATTAGATATCATTCTTATTTGGATTGTAAACTTGTAATATAGTGGCATTTTGTTACTTAAAGAACAAACTCTTGTTGATGGCACCTCGAAGGTGCAGTGACATAAAGTAAAATTTGTCAGGAAGAAAACTGCAAATTCTGTTTGATTTTGAAATTAGCGTACAACCACTGTATGTCCTGCTATTGGGCTTTTGTAAGGTTGTTACAAATTTTCCATTGAACTGGTTTTTGACCGTTTTTTTTTTATTATTATTATTATTTTATCAAAAATTTGAAAGTACTGCAGTGGTGCCTCATGGGAGTTGTAACTTGTTTGCCTCATGTCCCCATTTTTCTCTGTAGGCCAGGCTCATTGGCCTGGCTTTGTCTGCCATGATTGACTGCCTCCCCTCTCCAAAAGGGGAAACTGTGGTACACTACAGGAGTTGTCCAATATCGACCAGGAAGCCTGGCCTATAAAGGAGAATGGGAGCACAAGGCACTGTGGCAGTATTTCCAAGTCAAAATATTTTGGTTTTCCACAGAAATTTTTTTATGTTTTGAATTTCTGCTGAAAATTTGAAATTTTCCATGGGGAAAAGTTACCATTTTTCAAGCAGCTCTATGCTGTTCCTCTGACATGTAGAGTACAAGCCCTCTTGTTGGTGGCCTATGTAGAGCATCTCTTCAGGAACAGCCCACAACTATCTTTTTCAGAAGGAGACTTAGTATTGTTTTTCTCCTTTCATCCAGGGATCTCAAAGTGTAGGCAGGGACACTATAAAAATTGCTTTTTACCAATTGGATATCTTGCTTGTGAGTCTGTTAATATATCTTGAAGAGATGGTGTGGGAGAAAAGAGGATAGACTCAAAACACAATGTTAGTGATAAACTATATTCAGATGGTGATGTCCTATTTGTAATAAACTGTCATCTAAGCCTCTAAATCTGGTTAATGTTTCGGTGGGATGATCAGACTCTCCATTTGCATTTTTATAGAGAAAGAACAAGTGGAAAAGCTTAATTTTTCCTTTCCTATGTCTCTGTATTTGGAAACATTAAACAAATACTCATCCTTGAAGATGTTCCGTAATACATGAGTTTAATTTTTATTTTGACCAGAGTAAACTGCCTTAACTGTTGCTAATGACAAATTGAACTATACAAATACGGCTCAATAAGGTTTCTCTATAGAGCTTGCTGGATCTGAAACTGTACTTCATTTCCAAGAAAAGAGGAGAAGATGAAAAATCTAGGGCTCTGGCACAGGTAGATAAACAGCATGTAAGCAGTTTTAATTTCAGTGCATCATATAGAGCATCTCACACATCTTTCTCTCCTTTACAAATACATGTAAAGGTTTGTTTAGTTTGATGCTCAGTGTTCCTTTGGTGTTGCAGTTTTATAACAACTTTTTGTGGTCTGTGTTGTTAGGTGCAGAAGGATCAACACTGGTGTCATACTTTTCCAAAAATCAAATACAAGCCCATCAACCAAAAACAACATTCAGCACATTAAGAAATTTGCAGTGTCCAGTGCTCCATAGTAATGAACTGCAAGGAAAGCTGGAAGAGTCATGCAGTGCACAGGAACTGTTTGAATGGCTAGGTGCTGTTTGCAACAAAGTTGGTTTGTAAGTATCTGAACTTGCCTTGATCTTAAATATTTTAAAAAAAAACATAAGCCATAATTTTCTACCTTTGATACCTGACAATAGGCACTTCAGTCTTTAGATACCTTAAATAAGTGACTTGATTTTTCACAGGTGCTCAGCACTTCTGAAAAGCAGACCATTTATTTAAAGGTCTAAATGTATTTAGGTGCTTCATGGTTGATGCACAACTCTGAAAATGGTAGTGTTGGTGTAGAAAATTTGCACTATCCTTACCCAGATTCTTTCTGTTTTCAGAGACAACAAGTCATTTAGCTTCTTATCAACCTATTGCTGTCCTCAGCCCAGCACAGTAGTGGAGCAAGCCTATTTGTGCACAATCACTGGCTTTATACTCCCAGAGAAGATAATTCAGTTATTGGAACAGCTGTGGTAAGGGCCATCAGAGGTACATTACTATAACATATTTACAATTTTAATATTTTCCCCTTTCAAAGTATTTTACAAAGACTAATCTTCAGCACCCCAGAGAGGTAAGTAAAGTATACCATCCCCAATTTACATATAGGGAAACTGAAGCAAGGAGGTTAAGGCCAAAATTATCAAAAGTGACAACTGATTTTGAATACCTCAGCTTTGGGGGACACAACTTTGAGATATTCTAGGATTGGTTTTTTTAAGTGTTAAGCAGCCACAACTCTAGTTGAAGTTGTGGGAGCTCAGCATTTATGAAAATCAGACCCACCGTATGTCATATTGGACAAGTCACAGCCAAATTTTCAACTCCTACAGCAAGTCACGCTGAGTTTTGATTAAAACACAGATGTTCTGGCTCCCAGTCTTAAGACCACTGGACAATGCCTAGCCTTTATTAATATCAGTTTATGATTTGTAGTCTGATTCCCTTCTGGTGGCTGAAGTACTAATCCACAAAAAGAGTCCATTCACCAGATTTTCTTTCCATATGTCTTCCACACTGACATTGGATTGGTCTATTATCCCAGTCACAAATAATGCCAATTCCCTACAAGATGGTGGCTGGCAGAGGCGGCTCAGAAAAACTGGTTTCTATTTTAAAAAAACGAACCGAACAAACAAGCAAGTATTTTTAATTAAAGTACAGCTCACAGTTACATGTGTCAAAGTACACGATACGATATAAATCTTCAGGGGTGAAGTTCTTCATTGTGAAATGGCATTTGGTCCTGTTTCTTTTGTTTTTCATTCAATTTTACATAAACAGTTAACATTAAAATATGTAAACTGAGCAGTCTCATAAATATTTTAATTTAAGGTAATATTAAGCGTCTGAAGGAATGCTAGAGCCTCGGTGCCTCAGCAGGAAAACTACAACCCTTTGTGCTCTCCGTATGTACCTTCTAAAATGGTGTGACACAGTTGGAATTTCTCATATAAAACACATTTGTTTTCCAATAAGATGCTCATCACACTAGTGGGTGTCCCACATTTCAGTAAACCCAAGAGAGATTTTTAACTCCTTTAGTTATACATTTCCCTTAAGTAGTTAGATCTCTAATTCCATTCTGGTGTACTTCAATATAACTTATTGTTCCATTCTAATTAGAAGCTAATGTATTTTTTCTTTTCCAGTTGCTATTTTGATGAACCAAAATTGGCTCAGTGGGTGACCTTAACCGTGCATGGCTTTGCAGACAGCCCTGTTTCTTGGAGAGAAAGTGAACATGGTTTCCAAAAGGGAGGAGAGAACTTGTACAATTTTGTTGTTTTTAGGAGCCTGGACTATTGGCTTCAAATGGCTGTTGGAGCAAATGATGATTGCCCACCTTAAAAGTTCTGCCTGTAGGGAAGTTTCTTAAAAAGAATTATCTGAGATGTGCTTACAAAATATCAGACAATTAATTAGCCATTGAAAGGATCTATGTATATAGGAAGTTTTTCATGTTAGCATCTTATTGCTTCCACATGACAAGTGGAGAAGTCTTGTTTACTGGAATGTGTATTTTTGTCAAATATCTATTTTTAATAAAAAGTGAAATCTTGTTATATATTCCACAAATGTGTAATCTTGCCAAAATGATAAATGGTTTTCTAAATCATGGCCTTCTGTGTTGAAAACAACAACAAACAAAACAGCACACCCTCCACTATTCAGATACCAGGAACAGAAATTCCACCTTCCAACACAGAAAGAAATTAAAGCAGCAACAGGGTCTGCAGTCTGGGAAAGTTCTTAGGCCCTATAAATATTGAATATGGCTGGCTTACTTGACAGAAGCTTTATTGGATGTTTTATTTTGTTCTGCTTCTGTGCAAACTGCTGCAGTTGTTGGACAAGTCTACCATGACCCTGCTTTAGAAGTCTTTGTTTAGGATTAGGCCATGCCACGTTTCAACTTTCACCTCTTTCTGTTGTCACAAAAGATTGAATTTTTCTTTAGTAAGAAAAGTGTTTGTTTTTTTCCCTGCCCCATCCTTTAAGTCAAGTGGCTAAAGGGATTTGGCTCAGGCCTTGCTGGAAAATTCATCTGCAGCAAGAGATCAAGCATAGCAAGGCTTAAGGGTAAGAGTTAGATCTTGGAAAGTTACAAGTATTTGAAAACCAATGTTCAGCATGGAAAGTGTTTTGTAGCTTTCACTAGAAAGCCTGCTACCAAACCCTGCTCTGATATACGTGTCAGAATTATTTTTTTCCAGTAACTGCCCAGTGTGCTAATTGTTTTCCAAACAAAAGAAAGGAATAGTCCCAGCCCTGAAGAGCTCTTACTGTGTTTTTAAAAAACAAACAAAAAAAACAGTAGAAGGAAGAAATACAATGTATACAGACAAGGTGGCTAAATATATAAACATTAATGACTCAAACTCTCCATTAGCCATCAACTAGTTTTCCATAGGCATAGTACCAGAGGTGGTCTTCAGGAAGGATCTGAATGGAGAAGGAAGTGGCTTTGCAGCTGATCTCACTAGGGGAGGGGGGCATAGCTGTTAATCAGGTGGACCAGACTAGCATTGTGATCAGAGGAGCTATGCAGAACAAGGATAGATAAGCAGTGGAAGCAGCATTATGCAGAGCTTACAATGGAAGGACAACAATCTTAGAAGCTCAGACCTGCTAACTCCACTGATCTTCCACATAGAGTCTGGGTTTTCAGACGCTTTTATGGTCTGCAGGGAAATTCCCTTCAGATTGGCTGCTAGTTCCCCATACCATTTAGCTGTGTAAACAAAGGGCTGGGAGCGCTACCAAAGCTCAGCCATTTGGGCAGAGAGCCACTAGGGTGTGGAAAAAGAAAAGGAGGACTTGTGACACCTTGGAGACTAACCAATTTATTTGAGCATAAGCTTTCCTGAGCTACAGCTCACTTCATCGGATACATAGGGTGTGGCTAATTCCTGCTGGCTCTGCAGCTCCCCAACCCCTCTCTAGCCATTCTTGCCATTCACTAATGAAGATACTTAGTACTGCCCACCCCACTCCTACTCCAGAACCATGTCCCTGGTCAATTGCCTGCTGCCTAGGGAACCCTGTGCTCTTTCCTTCCTCACTCCTCCATTTCCACACCGATAGTGCAGCTGCCCACACCAATCCCTCTCTGTGCTGCTGCAGCTGCCTTCCCCCAATGCTTCAGCACCACACACCCAGCTCCCTCTTACCATGGGAGTTTTCTGTAAGGACTGATAGTATTCCCCCCTTCTGACACCTGCAGGAGTGGGTTGTTAGCCTCTCCCCTCTCCTTTCAAGTGGTAGGGAATACCACCCAGAGCAACTACCTGCTTCCCCACCCCTCCAAAGCACTCAGCTCTTCAGGGGAAGAGAGTTGCTAAGATCCCTGCCTGTCCAAAAGTGTGCTATGATAAACTGGGCTCACGAAGACCCAACCAACTGCCACATACACAGGGTTTCCTTGTGATGAGGGGCTTTTCCCATCACATGGCCAAGAAGCCCCACCCGCTGGGTGGGTGACCTCCCCCTCACTACTAGTTAACCTCTCTCTCCTGAGTGGGCTCAGGCCTTGCTGCCTGGGGGCGGTGAGGGCAATGAACAGTCCTTTCCCTGAAAATCCCAGGGCTCCAGCCAGCCTCCTGCTGAGATGGGAGAGACTCCTCTGGTCGGTGAGGGGGTGGTAGGGTGACCAGATAGCAAGTGTGAAAAATTGGGGCAGGGAATGGGGAGGTAATAGGTGCCTATATCAGAAAAAGCCCCTAATATTGGGACCCTCCCTATAAAATCAGGACACCTGGTCACCCTAGGGGGTGGAAAGGCGCAGGGAGCAGGTGTGGGGGCAGTGGCATGTTGGGGAGTGGTACATGGAAGAATTGGGCGGGGGGAGACATATGTAGTAAGCTTCCCCTGCCCCTTGTATGAGGGGCTTTGGAGTGGAAGAGCAGGCACTGCCGGTATCTGCCCCCCCTCGCCCACACACCTCCTGACCTCCAGCGTGGCGGCGGGAGAACGCAGCGGGCGGGGAGGAGCTGGCTGTCCAGCCGGGAACAGCTGCGCCGGGATCAGAGGGGGTGACCGCTCAGCGAGCAGTCGGGACTCTGGGGAGTGGTTTTCTGCCCGCGACCACATGATTGAATGGTCAGATTCAAGCCTGGGAAGAATTGGTTTGTGTGAGGCACACAGGGGGCTTGTTTACCAGGGAGCGGGGAAGCAGGCAAACGAGCAGAGAAACAGGGGGTTTGGAGTGGCGACTGAGAGGGGTAAGGGATAGGGACTCATGGAGCCCTCCCCCCACTTCCCCTGTGTACTCCCCCGCCTCCCCTTGCAGCCGGGGGTAGGCGATAGGAGGGCGGGCTGGCTTGAGCACCTCAGCTGCAGGGCTGCATTTGGGGTTGATTGGACGTGTGCAGAATGGGTGGGGGTGGTGAGGACGGGAAGGAGAGTGCATTCAGCGCAGTGTGGGTGGGTGAATGTCAGTGTGTTGTCAGCAAGTATGAGAGCTAATGGATGGTGGCATAATGTGGCAAAAAAGGGAGGTAATCTTGGTGGTAGTGTTTTGTGTGGAGTGGGGTGATGTGGGTATGGGGGAGATCAAAGAAGAGATGGTTGTAATTAAAGTGGGAGAGGAGTTGAACAAGAGTCTCTACTGAAGGGGCAGAACAAGACAAATGCTGTGGAGGTAGAAGCAGCAGGATTTGGCATCGTTTTAGCTATAGTGGGTATGGGAAAGAGTCAAAGATACTCCACAAGTTCTAGCAGTTAATTAAGATGGGTGGTTGGTGATGTTGACTGTGACAGAGGGCGTGGTAGAGAAGAAAACAAGTTTGGGTTTGTCCATGTTAAATTTAAATTTAGACATCCAGCAGAGGTTGGAGAGATTGACTGCTGGGTTGAGTGGCTGGAGAAAAGTCTGGAACAGGCAGATTCCCAAGTCACTGGTATGGGGATGGTGGTAGTAAAAATGATCTCCGTGATTGAAATTTCCCAAAGATAGGGTGTAGTAATCCTTTTCTGAAATAAGGCTTGTCCCCTTATTTTGCCCTATAGTAGGCTGCTCCCGCCCTCCCCCCCCCCCCCCGCACAGCCTCTGGCAGCACATTTCAGAACCAGCCAAAACTTAGAAGATTCCATCCAAAATACTGTTTTGTGGTAAGTTAATGAACTGTTGTTTGTATTGTATTAACACTTGGAGGACTAACCAAACAAACACACAGTAAGAGACTAGCTACAATGTAAACAGGAAAGACAGACAAAGGGTGAAAAACAGAGGCATGAAGAGGTGAGTGACTTGCCTCAGGTCAGGCAACAGGTCAGTGGTGGAGTTGAGATTAGAACCAAAGTCTGACTACATCTAGTCCAGTGCCCTAGCTCCAAAGACCATCTGACTTCTGATGTTGTTAACCATATTAACATAAAGAAAAGGAGTACTTGTGGCACCTTAGAGACTAACAAATTTATTTGAGCATAAGCTTTCGTGAGCTACAGCTCACTTCATCGGATGCTCACGAAAGCTTATGCTCAAATAAATTTGTTAGTCTCTAAGGTGCCACAAGTACTCCTTTTCTTTTTGCGAATACAGACTAACACGGCTGCTACCCTGAAACCTGTCATATTAACATAGGCTCTCAGCTTTATCATTACCATTTCTTTATGTTAAAGAAATATTGGGACAAGACTGAAGGGTTTTCCTTGTTCTATTTCAAACACATTCTCAGAATAGAGCTTGAATGGTCTTCAGATATTGGAGTATTTAAATATTTGGTCTTCATGAGTATTAATAAGAACTTCAGAAAACTCCAGCATAAACTGTGGCAAGCTCTCAAAGATCATCTCTACTGGTAGAATAAACACTAGAAAATGGCTATTGCCTCTGTTTACTCATCCTCTTTTGAAGTATGCTACCAAATGTTCTGAAAAGGATTTTAGTTTAAATGGACTAGTTTAATGTATTGGAGCTAAAAGGGGAGCTAAAGCAAATTACAAAATTCTTGTCTCCCAGAGTGAGGGGTGGCATAACTGTGACAACTTTCTGTTAGCTAGCTGCTCAAACACAGTTGAGCCTTGATTGTTCCACTATATACACATAATAGCTATTCAATTGGAGAGTAGCCTAGCTTCAGAAATCTATTCTAGTGTTTTGGTTTCTTTTTTTAAAGAAACAAACAGAAAAGAGATCATATAATTATCTCCATTGTTAACATCTGGGCTAGATGCCCGTATTCACTGGAGACCAACAAATTAATATTGTCCCCAGGTGTGGTGGTGTAGTTGCAGAAATCTAGAATTTCCAGGTGGTGTAGGGGAAATAATTTCTTTTTATAGGTGGAAAACAGCACAAGTTCTTATGTTAACTGATTCATTGCATGGACAGGAGTTTCTAATCTCCTCAATCCCAGCTTTTTTGTTGCCACTATTGTACTACCAGATCAGCCATGTAACTTATAGTAGGACGCTACTGAAGGATCTAAGTAATGAGGAAAGCTAATATTTCATTAGAAAATATCTTCAGGAATATACACCTGACACTGAAGCAATCGGATATCTGAACCAGGCCCTGAAGCAAGAAATATAAGCAATTGTAATTGGGCCAACATAGGCTACC